GGGAGCCCCTGGGATCCTCTGGGAGCCCCGGTCGGGGGCTCTGCCCGCAGCCCCGCGGGGGGAGGTGCTGCAGCCGGGCGGGATGCACGGGTGGGCTCCGGGCTGAGCCCCTCGCTTGGCCATGCCCGGGGCTGCCGGGAGAACCGGGCAGCAGCAGAACTGCCGGTGCCCTGCCAGCCCGGTCCCGGGTGTCTGGAGGAGACACCTCCCAGTGCTGGTGGTTGCAGAGCTGGCTCACCCTGCCCCGGAGGTGAAAGGGTAAAATTGAAACACCCACAATCTCCAGCCCTGTCCGGCATTCCCAGAGCTGCGCCTTTTTCAGGGCACAAGCCGGGGCTCAGATCCTGGGAGGCTTTTCCATAGGCATGTGCTGGAGATGTCTTTCCCTGCCCCAGCCCCATTTGCATTAATGAGACATTTAAACCTGTTTGTGGACCACTGCAATGTCACCCAGCCTGGAAGGGGCCCGGGCAGCCTTTAACCCTGTCGGTGCTGCCTGGCTGCACCCGCTGGGAGCAGCTTTGGGCAGCCTGGAGCAGCCATCCCGCTGGAGTTACCCCCCAGGCTGACACCCCCGGCAGCTGCACCCGTGGGGCTGGAGGCAGTGGTGCTGGGATCCGGAGGGGCCCTGGCTGCATCTCAGGTGTGTTTTCCAAGGAATCTGGATCTTACTGTTCATTATCACATCCTGGGCAAGTTTTTAATCCCAGTTTACTGGGAGGTTGGATGCTCCCGTTTTTATCTCTGGATTGCCAGGTGGAATTCTGTCTGGCAGGGAACAACACATCCTCCCTGCCTCCTGTCTCTGAGTCACTTTTGTGCTGGCTCTTCCTGCCCAGCAGAGAAACAGGCAGAGTCAGGGGGAGAGTTTCAGTTTCCACCCGAGAAAAGCCTTTGCCCAGCAGTTTTGATTCCCAAAAGTACTTAAGCAGCAAGTCCCTCTGCTGCAGCTGGGGTTTGTTTCTGCACAGCTCACCCCTCCTCCCATTGTTTTTCCCAGCTAGTGTTTGTGCCAGAGGAGCTGGGAGCACTGAGAATGCACTGACAGACCTGGCCAGTGGTAAGGCTGACTGCTGCTCTGCAAGTGCTGCCACCATGGCTTGGACAAACCCATCTCTGAACTCCCTGTGGCAGGAGAGCCCCTGCCCTTTGCAGTGCTGCTTTGCAGGGGTGGTCAGACAGCCCCAGCAGTCAGGCACCCACAAGCAAAACACCTGAGCTCTTTGAGTTAGGGCTGGTTGGGAAGGTTTTGCTGAGAAAGAAGATTTGGTTGTTGCCCCTGGAGGGTGTCATGGGGTGACTGTGTGTGAAGTGAGACAGAGCCAGCCCTGGGCATGGCCAGCAGGCTGCAGGATGCAGAGGTGCCCACAGGCTCCCTGTGCTTTCAAACCCTGTTTCTGTGGGTCATCACTTGCTGGGAGAGGCACTGTCCAGCAAACCTCTCTGCAGCTGGATTGTCCTCCAGGCCCTCAGCAGCTCCTCTATCACCCACAATTTTCTCCTGCTGCTGCTGAGAGCTGGGCAGAGCCCAGTGAGGTTTGCCCACCTCCTGGGCTCCTGAGGGCCAGTCCTGGCTTGTGGGCAGCCTTTCCCTGTGAGTCACCAGCATCTGCCACTGTGTGTTGGCTTCAGCACCTCTGCCCAGCCCGTCCTTGGCCCAGCAGTGCTGTGTCTGCTGTGCTGCCAGCACCTTCACCTCATTTGTGAGTGCTGCAGCCCTGCAGTGCCAGCGAGCTGGTGGGCTGCCCACCTCCAGTACTCCAGCCCCCCTGGGAGTACTGTCCCCATGGGAAGTGACTGGCATTCCCACCCAACCCTGACAGCTGCAGCAGAGGACGAGATGTTGCCCGGCCACAAATTTTACTGCCTGTTGTTTCTGTAAACTCCAAACTGAGTTTCTTAAATGTTCTGAGTTTATGATGTTTAGTGTGTGTCAAACCTGATTCTTGTACTGTCCTGGCCTGTGTTTAAGATGACTCAGGAGTTTGGCAGAGTTCAGGACTTAATTCACAATGATGTTTTTCTATAGCTACCTCATAGATTTCTGCCTCCTGGGGATTATTCACAGGACGAAAGATGCCTGCCCTGAGAAGTAAACATAAAAAGCACCTACAGAAAATTGGCACTTAATCAAAGAGTTTAGTGTGGGTGTTCATGCCAAAGGCACCCGGCAGGACACACATCCCAGGTTATGGACCCATGAGGCCATTCAGGAATGCCACAGAGAATGCTGTGCTGCCACACGTTGCTCCCAGTCAAAGGACATTGTCCTTAGCAGAGCTGCAGTTACTGGACACACAGTCTGACTGGTCACTACAAGGGCTTTCATGCAGGATTGGCACCAGTTTGATTATTTTAAAAGGCTCTCGTTTTGGTCTGGGAAGCCTTTAAAAATACAAAATTCCCAAATGATCACTGGCTGAAGTGTCATCAGCTCTCCCTGAGGTCTGGCTTTGCTCTAATGTTTTACCCTGAGGCTTTGACTGTGTTGTGGATTCCCAGGTATCCCAAAGAGAGAGCTGGGAACCAGCCTATGGCAGTTGTGTATCCATGTGACACAGCTGCTGGCTGCCACCATGTTGGGTATCTTGGCACTGGGGATATGGCTACCAAGGTGGGTACACAGCTATGTGGTGGGCATCCATGTCCCCTCCACCTGTCCCCAGCTGTGCTAGCTGCTGGTGCCTTCCCTGGCCACAAGACCCAGGTGCTGGATGATGCTTGGCAGCATCTGGGGGTGGTTTCCTTTCTGCCCTCCTCCTGGGGGCTGATTGCATGATTAGTGCCTGCTGATTTAACCCACCCTTGGTACTGGGGGCTGTTGGGAGAGGGGCAGAGACACTGGAACAGTCTGAGAAGGAGTTCCTGTGTGAGTGGTGGGAAGGTGCTGAGCTGAAACCCTGCAGCCCCTCCTCTGTGCTGCCCACAAGCAGCAGGGAGCAAACCTGGCAATCCCTGCAGAGCTGTGATGTGCCCAGCACTGCAGCCTGCACAGGTAGGGGTGAGGAGCAGAGGGGTTGTGTTGCACTTGGAGATATTTGCTTGCTTTTTCCTGTGGAGGTGTTTCCCCCCCACTTCCTTCTCCCTTCCAGTGCTCAAAGCAGGCTGTGCTGTGTAAGAGTTGGAGTCAAAGCTGACTCCAGCAACTCTGTGTCTGGAAGATCCTGAGCTGGGTGTTACTGAGTCAAACCAGTCCCTTTGTAAAGAAGCAACAAATTGGCAAGGAAGGAGCTTGCTGTGAGACATTATCTAACTCTGAAGTTGGCTGGTGTTTCCACCACTGCTGCAGTCACAACAGCTCACATTGTAACTCAAGGGTGGTGGTGGCCCAGGGGTGGGTGAGACTTGTGTGGGCTACCCTGGCATTTGTCTTGGGGTCTGTTTTGCCCTGTTGCAAACGGAGCAGGTCCAATGTAACGAGTGCTGTTTTTTGATGGTGTGTTAAGAGGTGATGGGAACAAGCAATGGTTTGTTGCCTTTGTGTGCTAGAGAAGGGGCTCTGAGGCAGAGCAAACCCACTACTGTCTTCTCCTCTGGTGCCTAGCTGGGGTGCTCAGTGGTGCTGAGCACCAGGCAGCCCTCATCAGGCACATCATCTCTTGGGATGCCTACAGGGCAGTAACTCATGTGTTGTTGATTAAAAAAACAAAACAAAAAACAACAAACAAACCAAAATCAACAACAAAACAAACAGAAAAGCTGTTACTAAAAATATATATCTTTATTTTTTCAGTGTATCAGCTATTTAAATAATTCACTTAAAATAACTTTATTGCACATTAAAGAACCTTTCTGGATTCTCACTGTCCTATATAAAATAAGCTTATATAGATAGAGAATAGAGAGACTTTCTCACACCTGATCCCTGCTCTCACACACACTCTCACTCACTCTTGCTCTACAGAGGCTGGTGCAGGTTCTGTTCACCCCCAGCATCACTACTGAGCTCTAGGCAGTAACAATCAGCTCTGGCAGGAGGGGGCTGGGTGCAGGCCTGGGAGCACAGGAGGGCTCTGTCCCTGAGCTGGGTGCCCTGGGGGTCTCTCCATGCACCCTTGGCAGCCTGTAGGAGCAAGAAGCAGCCACTGCCTGTGGTGCAGGGAGGGTCTGGGCTAGTGCAAGTCCCCTCCTGGGCACCACCAGCTCCAGCACAGGCAGCAGGAGGAAAGTCCTTGCCCAGGGTTGAGCAGGAAAGGAGCAGCTCCAAGGGCAGGTGCTGCTTAATGAGCTCCTCTGAAGTCGCCTTTCATGGCCAGCTTGAGCCATGGGACACAAAACAAGCTTGCAGAGTAGGCAGCTCATGACTGATCAGAATTGGGTTTTGTGCCATTTGTGCCATTTTCTGATTATTCTTTTTGGATTACTTAGGTTCTCCCACTCAAGCTGTGCAATAACTTGCTCTGCAAGTATATCTATGGCTATTCTAACTTTTCATCTCTGAATTAAGAGCTCATCAGGCCTCCTTTGGAATCTAAATTGAGCTTGAGAGCTTTCCTTTTGACCACTTTGTGCTCTTCCCACCCAGACCTCTGTCATTCTCCTTCCTGCCAATGTTGTGCTGCATTCCTGAAAGCCCTGGGTTTTTCCCACAAGTCAAGCCACACAGCAGAGAGTAATTAGTGTTAATACTCAATGTGGCACCAATCCTCTGCTGTGGAGTAATTCCTGCTCACGTACAATGCGGTGTGTGCAGTAGGTTGCTAATGTGTGCTTCTGTCTGGCAAGACATCCCTGCTCAGTGCCACATCCTGCTTCAGCCATCTCCTATGATGATTAACTTGAGAATTGATGTTGCCTGAAGTTCCTAATGTCTCTGAGCCCTTGGCTTTTGTGTCTGAGCTTTGCAAGTTCAATCCCTGAATAACGGTCTGACCTGACAGCCCTTCAGTGCTTGCTTGGGTGTGTGCCTTTCACCCCTAGACATGAGGGTCCAGCACCCACCTCTCATTTTGGCACCTGGATGGGTGGATAAACAAGCGTCAGTGCTGCCCGACCTCCAGCGTGTCGGGCAGCTGCTCGGTGAAGGCGGCTTCGAGGCGCAAAGTGCTGTAGTTGGGGGGGGGAGTCCTGGGCAGGGGGCTGTCCTGGGGCAGCGGCAGGCGCAGGGCAGTGTTGAAGGTGGGCAGGTCCTCGTCGATGCAGACGGGGTTCTCGTGGCCCTGTCTCTCCAGGTCCCTGGCCTGCCCTGGCTTCCCTGGCCCGGCTCTTTTCCGGTCGTTCCACCACTTCTTGGCCTTTTGCCACTGGCGCCGCATGACGATGGACAGGGAATCGATGAAGAAAACCTCGACGATCTCAATGACACACACGACTGAGCAGCTCATCCAAAGGCCCAACTGGCCTCCAAAGTTGGAAAGAAGAATGACGAGCTGGACAGCAGCAGGCACAGGGCAGTGTTGAAGGTGGGCAGGTCCTCGTCGATGCAGACGGGGTTCTCGTGGCCCTGTCTCTCCAGGTCCCTGGCCTGCCCTGGCTTCCCTGGCCCGGCTCTTTTCCGGTCGTTCCACCACTTCTTGGCCTTTTGCCACTGGCGCCGCATGACGATGGACAGGGAATCGATGAAGAAAACCTCGACGATCTCAATGACACACACGACTGAGCAGCTCATCCAAAGGCCCAACTGGCCTCCAAAGTTGGAAAGAAGAATGACGAGCTGGAAGAGACAAGAGCACAAGGTGTTCAGCTCCTGTGGGCACTGGGTGTGTGTCCATGGCACTGTTCTGGGGTGCAAGGAGGCTGCCCCAAGCCGTGTTTGCTGTGGGCACTTACCAAAGGCAGGGGCCCTTCCCCTGCCTAGCGCTGCACCTGCTGCCTACAGGCTGCCTGGGTGCAGGGCTTGGCACTGGGCAGCTTGAAGAGTGCCCCAGAGAAAAGGGCTGCAAAGGGCAGGACTGGGCATCACAAGGTGCGTCACCTGTGGACAGCTTCCCACCCCTGCCTGGGTGGGACCACTGCCCTGGCCAGGTGAACACCTCCAGCTCCTCCAGCCTGTCCGTGTGGCTGGGGCTGAGCAGGGAGCTGCTGTGCTCACTTACTGTGTTGGCAGGATTCTCTGAAATGAATCTCTCGTTCAGGTCTTTGTAAAACACCATGAGGTTTGCAAGGTCTGTCCTGAGAGGAGAAAGAGATGGCAGGCTGAGGGTTTAGTAAAACAATAACATGAAACGTACTGAAAAACTATGCAAATAACCAGTTGGACCAGTAGGGCTGGGCCGCTCTAAGGGAGCTTTTTCCCCAATTGCCATCATTAGGGCTGCTGAGATGGTATCTGAGCTTGAGGTGCAAGCTAGAAACACAGACATGGAAACTTACTTGTTCAGCTTCTTGTTGATTTTCTGCCCTTTGTCCCAAGAGAGAACTCGAAGCATCCAGTCCTGGAAAACAGACAGAAAATACTGCTACAGCAGTGTGCACTTGTGTAGAAATCCTCTGGAAGAGGAGCTTGTGCTCCACACCTCCTCAGACCAGAGTAGGTGCCAGAACTGAACATGTGATGGTCCAGCCGTCCCCAGGGGATGTCCCAGCCCATAAACCAAATTTTAGTTTAATGATGAACTCCTGGAGGGGAAGCCCTCTTCTGGACATGACAGCCTGATCCCCTGAGAGAAGCAGCACTGCAGTGCTAACCAGCACCCCAAGGCTGCCCTCCTCTGTGCTGAACCTCTGGGTCATGCAATGGCTGGTTGTGCTGCGCTGCCCTCACGGCGGACGCAACCAGGACCTCACCTCTGACACGGTGGATGGCCACTGGGCAATGCTGGTGGTGAGCGCCCACTCCTTGAAGCTGGAGAGAGAGGTAGGCTGTCAATTGTGAGCTTAAACTCCCACGCAGCATTTTACCTCTGGCTGTGGGCAGGACTTACCTGCAGGCGTCTTTGCAGATTTGCTGGCAGCCCAGCTGCTCCTTCACGAACTTCTCGTGCAGTCTGTAGTAGCAGTACACTGCAAGAAGGGAGCAGGACTTGTGTGTGAGAAGGCAGAAAGAAAAGCTGTGATCTTTTGCTACCTGTGCTGGAGTAGAGTTTCTGGGGTGTGGGTGGCCTTTATGGCCATCTCCTATAGGCTGAGGATAAAAAGATTTACCCTACAAATATTGCTAAATATTCTAAGAAGCTGTCACTTGCTGTAGGCATGAGCAACTGCCTCACCCAGTCAAGTCCTCCACTTGACACTTCCGTGGTGAGTGCAAATGACAAGTAATTGGGACAAGTGTCAGAAACAAGTCAGTGTAAAAAAAAAAAAGAGGCAGAATCAGGCTCTGTGCTAAGTGGGCTGAGGCAGATTTGCCTTTCCCAGGGTGGTGTGTGGCTGGAGTGGTGCTGGGTGCAGGCAGGGCTGTGCTGACTGGGGACACCCTGGCAGCAGGGGGTATTGGAACACTTACTCCAGTTGGGGTTTTTCTTGTAGTTGCAGTACTCGGCTCCAGCGGGTAAGGGCTGTGCGTACTGGGCACAGCCACAGGAGTCCACCATGGCCTTCTGGAAGCAGGAGTGCAGGCAAATCTGGGAGAGACAAACCAAGAGCTGGTGTCTAAGCAGCATAGGGTGCTGCACTCCTGCAGCACCAAGCTCCAGGCTTGCATGCACTAAAAACATCTCCTCTTTAAGGCAGCAGCAAGAAGAGGGGAATCCCATTTCCCTGGGCATTCCGGCTCTGTTGGTAGTGAATACAAATACAGGCAGAAAGTGCAAAGGAGGGTTTAGGCTCTAGTGCAAGAGAGATGAATATAATCCTCTCTGAGGGGGGATTCTGGGAATGCCCCTGTTTCCCCTATAGCCATCGAAAGCTTCAATGCTGCTGTTGCTCTTTCCACAGCCAAGGAGGTTTTCAGTCTGCCATGGCACGTGGTCCATGAATCAACAACTAGGTGTGGGAAGTGACTCACTAGTGAAAGCCTTCACAGCTTTGACCGAATTGTCTTGGTGAATACATGTAGACCTGAAGCTGCAGGATTAATAGGGTAGTAGAGTCAGTGTTTCATGCTAAAAGACTTAATCATTTGGAATAAGCAGGAGCTGAACTTTTTTTTTTTTTTTTTTTTTAAATCCCAGTCCTTCATCCTCTTGGTTCCAGTCCCAGCCCTCCTGAGCCTGGAGTTTCAGTTAGGTACTGTTAGTAAAAACCTGAGCTAATGTCTGTGTGAACTTCCTGGCAATTCATCACAGTAGCTTTCAGGTATAATGCCCCATAAAATAAAAATTCAGCCTAGGCACAGGCTTTGCAGTAGGCAGCAGCTAAAATAATTACAGTTCTTTAAGTTGAGAGTACCAGAACAACTGACACTCTCTAAGAGGACCCAATTACAGAAACCATGCAAAATTAGTGGAAACTTACTCTGTAAACAAACATCCTGCTATCTGGATGCTGATTAGATGGTATCTGTCATTCTTGGAGTCCTAAAGGTCACAATTTCTGGCTTCAAGGGTTACTAGTCTGCAACATTTACTTGGCCAATATTTTCCAGTCTCGCATTGCTTGAAAGTTGCCTAATGAGCTCATGTTCTCTCTTTATCTAACAGGGTGCCTAAGGGAACTTCAAACATCAGTCACTTAGGAATAAAACTCAGATTTTAACAAGTGCTGTGGTTAAAAGCAGAGACCCTACACCTGCTGGACTGTTCATAATCTCAGATCTCCAACTACAAAGCTGTTTAGAAAGGTAGTTTTGGAGCAACTGATAAAATGAAAGGTAACATTTACCTGGAGTGAGTAGCTCTTGTTGTAGAGATTTTCTACTGGTATGTCAGCACCAGTCTCTGTACAGTCACTGTAGGGTTTGCTCAGCTTGCGAGACCGAGTCTGAGAACCAGAAAAGAACAGGTCTTGGTTTTTTGAGTTCAGAGAGAAAACAAGATGCAGTGGCAGTTTATCATGATTCTGCAACTGTAAGTGATGGGGCAGGTTTGAGTGGCATGTTTATCTTTTGCCATTTCAAATGATTTGTCAATCACTTGTCAGAACAAGGGTTGTTGGGTTTGTTTGTCTGTAATATCCACTTCCCAAAACACTGCTCTGGCTGGATTATTTGCTGTCTGTGTTGAAAACCTCTAAAGCTAAGCAGAGCTGGCATAATTGTAACAGGATTTTTCAAAGCAGAGTAATTAATAAGTATATTTTCTCTCCTTGGAAAGTCCTGGAGGCTATGAATTGTTTGCCCTGGATGTGTTTGTTTTTGAGGGAAGGGGGTTGTTGATTTTTGTTTTCTGTGAGGACTCATACCTTCCTAAGCTGTTGCACTGGCCACTCCTGTTTGGTGGGTAAAACAGCACTCCAATCTCTGCTAGTGCTCAACAGCACCTCTCTACAATCACTCTAGATCAAATGTTTGCATCTCCTTCAGGACTTTTTCCAGGTGCTGGTTTGACCCCTCCACTCCAATGAGGGCTAACACCTTTTCCTGTTCTGTAATCTCTGCCGAGAGAAATGAGCTCTGAAATGCCAAGTGCTCTGCCTGCAAGGTCTGTTGAAACCAAGGCTGGGAGCCCTCAAATTTGTCAGACCTGATTCAGGCTACACCACTTGTTTCCTGCAGACTGCCCTACCCTGCTCAGCCCTGAGCTCTTACTGTCATTCTGCAGTAATTATCCACTTTGTAACAAAGACGGTGACCTGAAACCACAAGAAATGTCATCATTTAGGAATTCATTCAGTTATCTTTCACTACAGAGTTTTAAATTAGGGGCTGATTCTACACAGGATCAATTTAGTAGGAACCAGATAAATGCCTGCTTACCTTTAAGGCCCTGACTACAGATCTACAGATTACAGAGGTGACACTTGACAGTGAGCAGTGCCATTTTCATCTGCAGCAAAAGAAGGCTACAGGCATGTACAGTTTAAGTCAGCTCTTGTAGAGAGATGCTCAAATCTCTTTTTGGAGGGGACACAGAAATATGACTTCAGTATTAGAGATGGATTACTTCTGCAAACTGAATGTAACCAGCTTTTAATATGCTTTTAAGTTCTGCAGACAATCTAATGCCAGGACATCTGCCTCAATCTGCTGTATCATGAGTTGATGATAGATTCTTTCTATAGATTTTTTTTTTTGTCATGTTTATACTCCTACAAAAGCTTACTTGTTTATTCAGGTACTGTGAAATAATTTCCAAACTAAATATTTAACTAAAGCACTGAAACTCCTACCAAGCAATACCTTGTTTGCATTCCAAACATCTTGGAGTATTTTTAGAGGGGGGACACAGAAATACATGAGCAACAGCCTAGATACTGAGGTTTGCATCTGGGAGGCAACAACTGCCCTGCTGGTGCCTGCAGCTGTGTCCCTCCTCCACGTATTGGGATGTGGTGCCAGGACTGATCTGGCACCTCTGTCAGGGCAGGGCTGTACCACTATCACCACTTCCCCTTGGCAGCCTCTCTGGAGACCTCCTTTACTGGCAGTACAGTGACCAGTAGCTTTTGTTTTGAGTCCAGAAATTGTGTCCAGCTTCTATTTTGGCTGCTGTGTTAGGAGGCAATCAGATCAATTCCTTGTGCCAAATCTTTGAAGTATTGCCACCGAGATACCTTCAACCTTGTTATTTATATTATATGCAACAGTCTAAAACTACTCAGCCAGGAAAATATTACATGAGGTATTGAGATTCTGTCTGCAGTGACTTTCTCCTAGACAGTGTAATAGTTATAAAGGAACTAGTGGTGTGAGACTTTGCCTCCTTTACACTGTTCTGTTTTGATACCTTCTACTCACTGTTTGTAAGGCAGCCTTTATTCCCTTTGGTTAAACCAAGCAGTTGCTGCCACAGTTTTCCAGACAGGTAACTATTTGCACATTTTAAAACCTGTTTTTAATGTCTTTTCTAATTCATTCACTATCTAGATCTAGCATACCCACCCAGCACAGTTAAGCAGGGCTGGCCGATGCCTTTGATCCAACCATCAATGAAGAAAAGGCAGAACTGAAATGCTCACTTAACAGCCCATCCAGATGAAAGGGGAAAGTCTGGCTTGCCTGAGAAGCCCCTTGGGTCAAATGCCTTGTCTGCACTACACTAATTGGGGAAATTTGGAGCTGCAGCCCTCCCTGCCCTTGCTGACAGCAATGACAAGATGCTTCACTAAACTGGCAAGGGCAGAGTCATTGCCTACGGGGTTTTCTTTTTTTTCGAAGTGGGATAGCAAGAAACCCAGAAGACAGACTTACACCCACAGAACAGTTAAAGGGCTCATGCTGCAGTCATGTCTGCAGCCTGACCCTAATGTGGTACCCACAGCTCATGCTCTTTTCTTCCACCCCTGGAACCTGCGTGGGATGCACACCCATCTGCGTGTTGCTAGAGAGAAACAGGGCACATGACAACACATTTCTGTGGTTGTGGATTTTGGTGTGAAAACAAAACACAAAATCCCCTGGAAAGCCAAGAGGTTGGAGAAAAGGGAGAACAAACAAAATCCCAGTAGCTGTTTGGTTTACAAGGACCTGACTTTCCAACAGCCTCTCTGCAACAGAAAACTTTGTTCCAAAAAGTGCCACCACAGGCACTTGAACTGCTCAAGTGTGAAGTATTGGAAGCCTTCCAGCTGCCAGCTACATTCTAACATCCTATCGGTTCATGTTTACAACTGTTTCAAGGAGATGGGAAGGAGGGCTGTCACTCACAAAGTGCATCCCTATGGAGGTGGCTGCAGCCGTTTCGATTTCCGTGCCAATGTCTTCAATGAAGGGATATTCGTTCTGGTCATGGACAATGATCTTGGCTCCTGTTGATGTCACCAGGAAGGGGTTGTAGTCTGCTTCGTCTATATACAGAACAACCTGCAATCCTGAAGAGCAGAGACAAGGCAGGAGAAGAGTTACACCAGAAGCCAGAGTCACTTTTTCAGGTTAGGAAGTGAAGCACAGTTTATTTACTGTTATTTGGCCTCAAGTAGAACTGTAAAAACCAAGCAAAGCCTTTGCAGTGCTAGACGGAGGCACTTGCAGCAAGCAACATCCCTCTGCAGCCCCAAGCACAGCGAACAAAGCCCGTCTCTGCAGAGCACGCCTGAAACTTACTTTAAAAGTTATATAACCGGGAAGCAGTCATTTCAAATGGAAAACATTAGTGATGCAATGATATTATCTTTGTATTCTCTGGCAACAGTTTGCACTAGTTCAAACAAGTGCTTCCCCAATCAGCTTGCACATCTAGAGCCAACACATCCATCACCCTCCAGCAGGATCCAGTTCCCTGCCCCGCGCCTTATCTGGCGGCTGCTCCCGGGGCTCCTCACCGTACTCGCTGCCTCCCGTGGAGGTGCTCAGCACCGTCCCGCTCTCCCCGCTGTTGAAGGTGTAGCAATTGCCATGGAGGGGGTGATGGAAGCGAGTGAAGTGCCTGAAAGAAATCAAATATTGCTCCATTGCCCTCTTCAGCTTTAACTGTCTGTGGGAGAAAATCGGCAGATTTGGGCTTTTGTTTTGGCAGAGACACAAGGACTGGATTCTTTTTTTTTTGCAAGCAACTGGTTTTGCTGAGAGGTGTGTGATATCCTGAAACTGCACAGAAGTATCATCTGGTTTAATAGCACCAGGAAATGAAAAGTTTAGGAAGTTTTCATGTGGGAATGGGGACTGAGGGAATGTGGGAAGCAGATTTACAGAACTAGCAGGAAGGTGGCATTGCAGGGACAGACTTCTTTGTCGTTTGACAGCCAAGTGTCTAAAGGAACATGAATCTTCATTTTTCAGAAGAGATGTCAGAGCCACTGTCATGCAAGGGAAGCTAAGGACACACCCTCATGATTCAAGCACATTAATGTCTTCCCTGGGAACATCCCCCTCCTGCTCAAGCAAATGTCTTCATTCCAAGAAAAGATTTTAGGGTTTGCAGGATTACAGGCACAAGCAAAATGCCTTCAGTAAGGAGAGTCCCAGTGCAGCCTGTTCTGTGCAGGGCACCAGGAAACCCTCAAGTCCTCGGCCAAGGGCAAATCTCATCCCTACAGCTGCCCAGGAGAACACTGCTGCTGCCCCCCGGGGTGAAGGGGAGATTCTCCTGCTACCAGGACACACAAGAATTGTGCTGCCACAATCATAAGCAGGTAGATTGAGCCTGCCAAAACCCACGGGTTTATCTGAAATGTGGGCAGCAGAACACTATGACAAATTACATTAAAGAGTGCGATAGAAGTTCATGAAGATGCAAATCCTGCTTTAAATAAAACCAGAAACTGTTCCTGCTGGAAATCAGCAAATACCAAATATTAAATTCCTATAAATTAAGCTGTTAAGCTGGCAGGTATTTTCTGTGCACTGACCTTTTGTCACAAGATAGGCCATCAAAGAAACAAGTCAGTAGAAGGTCATCAGCAGAGTAACTCAATTTCTCTTTAGTCTCCAAGGGAATTTGTGCCATGATGTTCATGTAATGCAGCTTGTACCATTCTTGGATAGCATTAACACCAGAACTGAATGTGTAAAGTGCACACTCACTGCTGTTGTTTGCATCGCACTGATAATTACAAAGGGGAAAAAGCGTTTCAGATGAAATGAAATACCCCAAGGTATGTGTGATATGGTTTCTCCTTCACAGCAATAACCATGTATGAAGTTAGAGTGGCAACAAGGGGACAAAGGGCCATAAAAGACCTTTCATTCAGGGCTATGTGATACAATCAAATGTTTCAGACCCAAAGGACAGGTCAACATGGAAGGCACGAAGTCTATTTGAGTAGACTTCAGTATTTGAGTAGACTTCAGGAAGGCATTTATCTTCCAGAGAGCTGGAGATGGATCTGCAGGTAACCATAGAGGCATGCCAGAATGGGCAAAAGAGCTGAGGGAGTGTTATTCACTCTAAAGCCACCTAAGCAAGCAATAAAACAGGCCAGAGGGACACCAACCCTAAACACCCCTTTGTTGCCCCACAAGGAACTTGCCAAGGAAGAGGAACACTCACCAGCTGAAAGCCAATGATATCATTGGAATCCCCAGAGTTCACTATGGACGAGTCCTTGTGAAAGACACTGCCCTCTATTTTCCTCTTCTGGCCACTGCGAAGGTCAATCACAGTCTTGGAGAAGTCCTCAAACTTCACCAGAGGGATCTGTTTGAAGAAGTTGCTCCCTGTGCTGTTCCACTCGTCCACCGACCGGCGCACCTTGGACTTGCCTTCTGAAAATCCATAGAAAGTCTCCAAAGCCTTTTTTGTCTCTTTGTCCAGTTCAGATAAATATTCTTTCATGGAACTGTACCTGCATTAGAGACAATGTGAGAAAAGTGACATCCCACCTCACTGCCTAGCTGAAGTGTCTTGCCACTGTGCTGCAGATCTCACTGTTGAGGACAGAATTCCTTGTTGTGGACTCACATGGATCTCTCCTACTACCACTTCAATTTGCACTGGTGTGGGCAGACATGGCTGTGCCCTGGGAGCAAGGACCATCTGAAGCAGAGTGGACTGCACTACAGGGAAAGCCCTTTCAGACTCCCAAGCTCCCTGAAGGTTGTGTTAGCAAGCCCGAGGAGGCAAAGCATGTGGAAATACAACTTCTGCATCTATGCCAAGAGACATGGGAGAGCTGGATCGCCTGCAGGGACCAGGACAGGTAGCTGGCAGTGGAACAGACATCAACATGTGTGTAATTTGGCAGAAGAAAAAGAATTGTGGATTTATAGTGTTAAAGCATCCTAGAAGGACAGAAAGAGGCAGAGGCAACAGAGAAATGACAGATATTGCCTTTTCATTCTTCAGGAGATGGCATCGTATATAATTCTGGAACTTTGGTCCTGGAAAAATGGGAATTTGAAGAGAACCACAGAGCTGACCAGGGGCTGTCTGGGGCAGAAAGTGAAATCTACTGAGCTCTAGCCCAGCAGGCAGCAACTGGAGGCTGTGAGTATAACCCACATGGGTCTGAAGAGCACCAGGGGTGGATAGGTAACTCAAAGTGCCATACACGTAAAACCCAATGTCAGGAGAAACTGCTGCTGAGCAGCGTGGCAGCGCAGCTGGGGATGCCCAGGAAGGAATTTGGTGCTGGGCTGGTGAGGGGATGATGAACCCGCCGGGATTCCCGGGGACAGGGGTCCCACTCTCCCCCCCGTGCCTTACTTGTAGGGGTTGATGTTGCAGATGGTAACGGCGGGGAAGGGCAGCTTCTGGAACTGGACGGTGACGGAGACCGAGGCGCTGTAGTAGTTCATGAGGAGCTCCGCGCACTGCCAGAGGATGAGCCCGACGGCGCTGAGGGTGAGCAGGATCCAGATGAACCTGCGCAGGCGGCCGCGGGACACGACGATGCG